TAATTTGTAATGCTGGGCTAATTTGTATATGCAAGAATTTGTACTAGTACGATGCTTTTGCATCGTATATTCTTCCAGTTTCAACGAAATATTCCGCGACGCGGAGAAGATTTCGCTCGCCCAGGAGCAGGTGCCGGTTGTTCTTCACTCAAGAAGGAAATGCCGTTCTTTCCCGCCCAAGAACAGCTGCTGCAGAGCCTCTTGTCCGACACGTCCTACCTATTCCCAAATTCAGAAAAGGACAATTTGCGTGCCGACGCGGATATGCATTGTAAATGTGTCTTGATCTGGAATCATGGTGGAACTTGTAATGCGCGTTTTGTATTTTTCCTGCCAAATTTGTGTTGCATCAGCAGCAAGTGGGTAGCTTTCCTTATGATGCAGAAACGCAATTTGTCATGCGTGTATTATACGTATCAGAAAGCGAGTTCCGAACAAAAGCTTGTCATGCCTGGCTGCCATTGAAACTGTTGCATTCATGCGAAATGCAGCATCACAGGTTTCATCAAGAGAGGACCCAGACATAAGTATTTTCAGACTGGATACCGGAGCGGCTGTTTCGTACCGGCAAGGCGTCCACACCTTCGGTGCGGGGCCTTTATGCATCGCATAAGTATCGTGTTCGTAGTATTGCAATACAAATTGGCTCAGCATGACAAATGGAATTTCTCATGCTGAAATCGCTCGAAAAAGGAATTTGTCATGCATGACTGCGATTACTACGAGTACGATAGTTTTGCACAGGATAGCCTTGCGGCACTCCTGCTCCCCTTCGAATGTTCCTGGGCCAGCCGCATGACCGTGAAGTGCCACGAAATATTTGTCGAAGGGCAGAAGCAGAACTTCGTCCACGAGCAGGGAAAAATGAGTCAGGAAATAAACAAGCAAGTAGATGAACCAGCAAAAAATAACATCCCCACGCAAGAAACCAAAACGGTGAAGCATCAAATAACTTCCCTCCACCCGAGTTTCTTCTTAACACGACAACAAGACGGAGCACTGTGCATCGCCTTTGAGGAATCTCGTGCAGGAGCGTCCAAGCCGAATAACCCCACGAACATTCGGTCGCTGAAAAGAATCTGGTCTCGCAAGTTGCGGTCAGTCGAGTGGTATCCTGTGCAAGAGTATCGTAGGACGTAGTAGGAATCGAATGAGAATCAATTTGAATTTCCACAACAGCATGAGATATAGTCGTAAACTTGCAATGCGGTTTGAACTTTAAGAGAAAGATCTGTATATGCGTGCCTGCAATTCCAGCTCCACTTACTACGACTGCGAGAGTACTTTTGTAGTGCATAAATGTGTCGTGTGCAACATCGTGTTTGCGGTGACCGATACCATCGTCGTTTCCGGCAGTTATCAAATGCCAATATGTTGTTGCCTGGATCTAGGTGAAAATTGCAACCACGTTTTATTGTCATGCACATTTTGCATGGCCGTTGATGTATGCGCTAGCATCACAGATTGCTTCCAAGGGCCCTTTTGAAGATGAGAAAATCCCACGTAGCATAAACTGGAAGCGTCCTGTTGCTGTTCGTGCAATACAGATTTTTCTAAAACAATTTGAAAGACAGCATGACAAGTTGGTGCACGTCTTGTTCCAGATGACCCAGACGCATTTGCCGTGTATACCAGGGAGAGACTGCTGATTTTGAAACCGCGACACAGACAGAACCTCGGATTGTTCATTCTCATGAACGTGGTGGAAGGTGGAACAGCAGGAGCTACAACAGCAACTACTACAGGAACAAACATCCTCCGCAACTTTCTCGGCGTTACCGAACAAAATAAAACAGAAACGAGCACGATCAACTACCTCCTCTACGTTGCCCCCGGTTCGGAGCTTTGTAACCGCACAACGGAGGTTTTGTCGCTGGTTGGAATATATGGATTGCAAATGTGTCTGGGTCTGAAAAAAATGGCAACCTGTCTTCATGCTGAATCTGAATCGCGCAAAAATCTGTGTTGCATAAACGGCAAATGCTGCTCATTCCTTTCCACACGAGAGGCGAACTGCTCATGCCGAAGAGTAAAGCATTTGAAAGCTTTCGCGCAAGTTGTGATGCTTTTGGGTGCATTCGACAACAAACATCAACATCTCTGTGAAGCATGACAAACTTTGCATTCCTCCAGACCCGAACGTATTTGCAATGGATAGAATCCCCCAAGTTATTTTTCCTGCTTCGACGCCGCCGGGGTTTGACACACTGCAGCACGTCGGGACTACCTCGACCCCCACGAGGGCGCTGAAACAAGACCAGGCGAAAAAAAATACACCCCACCAGCAGCAGTCCTCGCAAGAACATGCTGCGAAGGTTTTAGTCGCCGTGGAAACGCAGGCGGAGCTCTGTCTGAAAGAGTGGAACGCAGCGGTCGAAATTAGTCGTTTGAAGGCGGACGAACAATCGGCTAAGTGTGGTAGCAGCAGTAGTTCCACCTTCACCAGTAGAAATAACGGGACACCTCCACAGGAAAAAAATCATTTGACCAACGGTTTAAAATTTTCCCCGGAGACCACCACCACGACGACCCTGTCAGCTAGCGAAACCGAAACCCAGACAACGCCTCTGCCTTCTAAGATTAAGCGATCGCCGGAGTCTGGTGAATCTTCTAGCACGGAGAGTAATCCGCAGCGGAAGGTGGGAAGCTCTGGTTTTGGTGGAAAGTGGTCGTAGTAGACAATGCAAGAGTCTTCAGGAACCAATTTCAATTTTTTACACGGACTTAAGTGCTATGTGATTTCGCTTTAAGTTTACAACAACGAATTTTAGTCAACTTTTCCCAACGACAGCAGGTGTAAGTAATTAAGATTAAAAAGAACGCATTCTGGTGGTCAAGTACCGCAATTGCTGTGCAACAGTTTTTTTGCGAATTTCGAAAGTCCTCATTTGAAACAAGTTTAGTACGACACATAACCTGAAAACTTTCTATTTCAACGAACTGATTCTGATACGAGAAGCATGATCCAGGAATAATGCTGCTGTATGATCTTGCTCAACTGTATGGATCGAATTGCGAACTTTTTTTGGCTTATAGCAATGAACCCGGCGATAAAGATAAACAAGAATAAGGAATACAATAAACTTTTTTTGATACTGGTAAATGTTGGAATAAATGAACATGTTTTAAAAAGAGAACAACCGCGAATCTTTCGGGCCCAAGAGTGGCTGAGCTCAGATCTAACAGCCCGCCAGGATCTGACAGCCCGTCAGGATGTTCATTCTAAGTCAGATGTTCACTCTAAGTCAACAAACACAACAAGACAGGAAAGCGCAGAACTTTGCGTTTTATGTCTGAAAGAGACCGCAGTGCCTTTCAATAATCAAAACAATCAGCAGGGCAATTTGTGGACTCGGACCAGCGTCCGCGAGACGCGCGTGGCCCCTCCGTGGTTGTAGTTTCCTCAGGGCAGAAGGGGCGCGCGGGTTGGCAGGGCCCGGGCAAGGTGGTCGCGGTGCGCGCCGCCGCCAAGACGGCGCCCGGCCATCAACATCGGGGGCCGTATCTACCGCGCGCAGCACCTCGACAACATGAAGCCGGCACCCAATGCTGCCGCGCTCGCTGTTGATTAGATTCCCGGCGGGGCCTGTGCCGTGTGCTTGTATGTGCTGCTGGGCGCGGGGGCCGAGCGGGGCGACGCCGATGCATGGGGCGAGGCCTGAGGCCCTGGGCGGTGCGCGCGTGGGGCCTCGCCTACTTTTCGGTCCAGCAGCTGGCTGAGTACGACGACGCCTACGAGGGGGCCCCGATGTCGCCGGCGCTCTCTCATTTCCTGAGAGAGTGCGCCCCACAGCTCGTCCGTGGTGGGCGTGTGGGGGTGGTTTCTCTGTGACGCCGTGGCGGGGCTGCGGCCGGTCTGGCCTTGGGCGAAGACGCGGCCGGGCGGGCAGCACGCGCCCCCCCCCACTTGCCTACCCTGCGCGCCCGTATGTTGCCCCCCGGCCTTTCCGCGGACCGGCTGGCCCGCCGGCGGGGCGGGCGCGCCCGCGCGGTTGCGGGTTAGGTTGCGCCGGCACTTCGCTGGCAAGCAAGCGCCTGGGGGTTGGGGGCGCGTAGCCCGAGGGCGCGCACAACTGCACCCGCTGGCAGAGAGGCCGCGGCGCGCTTGTTGGGAAGGCATGCGGGGCAAATTCCGGATGGATGACGAGCCAGGGCCGGCGTGGCGTGCGTTAGTTTTTGTTGTATCTGTGAGCCTGCGTCGTCTGGATGGGGAGGCAGGCGGGTGGCAGGGGGGTGGTGCCACGTGGGCCACTTTGGCTCGCATTGGCTTGCTTGGGTTGGCTTTGCATTTTTCCCGCGGCCCCCCGCGCCATGTGCGTGGCCATTTGTTGGGGGTCCTCGGTTTTGCGCCACTGGCCCAGCCCGGCGGGCCGCGCGTTTTCTCTGTGAGCGGCCAGCCCCACGCGTGGAGCCGGCCGCCAGCCCCATGGCTTCTAGCCTGCCGTGCATTGATTGCGCCCCGCTTTGTGGGGAAGGGGCGCGGCGGCCCTTTGTGAGTGTCCAGACGTGCTCCGCCCTCCGTATGGCCGGCTAGCGCGGTGCAGCCTGGGCGCCCATTGTCGGTTGTCGGTGTGGCCCATGAATGTCGGCGTGGGCTCGCTGGCGCGCAAGCCGCCCGCCCCGCGCCCTTGCGCCTCTGCCCCTGCCGGTGCGTGTTGTTAATTGTCTGAGCGCGTGCTAGAATCGAATAACGCCTGGAGCGCTCACGCCAATACCTTCGGCCACTAGCTAGTAAAAGTGCCGCCCCTGCAGTCTCAGTGTGGGTTGCCCGTGTTCTTGAGGGTATACTTGAGCACGCAGCAGGGAGAGGAGCGGCGCTTTCGTATTGTCTCACAGAGGACTAACAATTGGTCAGCGAAGCAGAGAGAATCATCACTGCAAGCTTCCGGAGTGAACCGAAGACAGCCGCAAACCCGCAAGTGCTTCACAGCTACCGAGCGAGAGACAGTGCGACGGAGTGTATAGACCCGAGCCGCGGCCTTCTACCTTGTTCCAAGTTCAGATAGATAGCTATGGAACTCTTGCCAGTAGCTTTCAACACATCACCACCTGCCTCGATATCCCTGGTCGTGACAACCACGCCTCAAGATTAAGTAACCTCCCGCACCACTGGCGATTATATTATGGCATCTTCCAAGCCCCCGCCGCGCGAAAAGAGCCTGGGACGCCCCCGGGGCAGCAGTCGTGGGGGAGTGTTGCAGACCCTGCAGGAGTTCAACAGCCGGCCGCTCAACATGCCAGTTAACGCTCGCCGCCGCCCGGAATCGCTCCACAGAAATCGCGACGGGCCGGCTCATCCACTTCCTGGACCGCCGCCCAGTGGCGTGTTGACTAAAGGTTGTTCCAAGGGCACAACTACGACTAAAGGCAACATCGGAAAGTCCGCGGGAATAAAGAACGGCGCGAAGCAGAATGCAGCAGTTGCAACTGTTCCTGGTACAACTACGACATCTTCAAAAGCCAATTTTGCAGCCGGTGCCAGCAGCACAACCACTACATCAGGTGAACAACAACTACATCAACCGGCGGTGGAACGAACATGTGCGACTGGGAAAAATGGGCATCAAGGTGGGAAAAAAGCAGGGGGAAATGATAATGAAGGAGCTTCGAAAGCAAGTGGCAGTAAAACGAGCTGCGCACCGTCTTCTTCCTCCACCAGCAAGCTTGCAACCACCAGCAGCTGCATGTTGACAACCACAACAGCTGCTGCTTCAATAATTTCAGCTAGAGCTGGAGCTGCGGGTGGGGGTGCCGGGAGTAGTAAGATCACAACGATGAACTGCGAAACGGGAGCAGAAACCGTAGCGTCCTCTGCGGCGACGGGGACCAAGCGCACTTCTACGGAGCAAGCCCCAAAGACTACTACTTCAAGTAGCAGCTGCTCGAGCGCCGCCCTAGTCAAGACCGAGAGTAGAGGACAGCTGTACGCGAGTCAGCAAGAGGACCAGCGCGCCCGGCGCCTCTCCAGTCCGTCGACAGACGATTTTGCAGTTTTGCGAAGCGAAACAACTGCGATTGGGCTTGTCGCGCAGCAAAAAGTTTGTAACCGTGCCTCGGCAAGAGCCGCAACTTCCACATCTTCCAAGTCGCTGCATCGGACGAAGAATGCCGCGTCGGCCGACATCAAGACTGCAGATCGGAATCGAAACGGTTTCAACCCCATCTCACGAGAGAGGACGGCGCCGCAAAATATTTGCGGTTCGACCGAACACGGGCAGCACACTGCGACAAAACCTGGGGAAACACACACCACTAAGCATGATCTAGCCGGCGGCCACGACACCGCAGTTCCAGGACAACTAAAGGTTCCGGGAAAAGCAGTATCATCTCTACCCACACGGCCCTCAAGCTACGAGAGCCGCGGCGAAACAGGCGTTAAAGGCACGTCCCAGTCATCGAGGGTGGAATTTGGATTGGACAACACAGCTGCTCGGGGTAGTCTTCCGACGGGACGATCAGGCAAGACTACCACTGTTCCAGCGGCTGATCAAGTAGAACCGGAAAAGAAGCAATCTTATTCTCTCCCGAATCTTCAAGACAAGCAGGTGGACAAAATGCCGGGGCAAGACGCTGCACCTACGGTTTCTTCCTCCGGGGTAGCAGCAGCAGCAGTAGCAGCATCGGGAGGTGGCCCGCGGAAAATAACTACCACTCATGTTGATAAACCGCAAAAGGAGATGTTGAACCAGTCCGCCGCATCTAGCCGTGGTATGGCATCAGCTATTACTTCTATCGGCACAGAGAAACCAGAACACAGGAAGTCTTCAGCCAACGCACTTTCGAGCAGCAACACATCTTCGAACAAACCGCCTCCGGTAATCTCTGCCAAAAACCGGCGAAAAAGTTCCCGGTCTGCGAGCCGGGTACGAGGGTTGCCGAAGATCGAGACGCCTCGGGCGGCACGGCACGCCAAGAAAAAACGGAAAGCAGAAAGACGAAGGGCAAAACAGGAAAGCAAGGCCGCGCATAAAGGGAATCATAAGACCGCGAAGCCGTTTGAGAAGGGTGAAAAGAACAACCAGCGCCATACCACGACCAGTCGTTCTTCTACAAGAGCATTAGCATCATCTTTGCCGTCGGGGGCCGCTGGACGAGAGAAGAGCAGCGGACAACTACCTGGCGGGGCCCCGTGGATGGGAACAGCTACTTCTTCACATGGATTGAATATTGCTATCGGACCGCAACGCGACTATCTTCAAGCCGGAGCTAAACAGTTGGACATTCATGAGGACGCTCGCGCGACGTTTGGAAAACCCTTTGCAGACGCGGTTTTTATGTTTTTGTGTTTCGGTTTTTCATAGCACAGAGGTCGATGTTCAGATGAATGACGGAGAGCATGGAAGATCTTTTTATACCTATGAACGATTCGTGTAATTTCCGGTTCAACAAATATTAATTCGTCACCAGGTAGCAACATCAGCTTATGCATCTGCTTCGGCGCAGCAGCACACGCTATGTGGGTCTACTCCTTCTCGACTAAGCGTCGAAACACCGGCGACTGGCTCTACTCCTCCTCGCCCTGGTGGATCGGCACCGGCGGAGCAGGTCGTAGACCAAAATCAAGGCAATACCAAGATAAACGTGACGATCCATAGCGCCTCGTCGTCGGGGATCATGAAAGATAAATCTACGGCTGCGTCCTCCGGCGCACCTCCGCCGACAAGAACCCTGCAGGACAAAGCAGGTGGTGCGACGAGGGAGAGAACTACACTCCCGAGCAGCGACGGCTGCTACACAAGCAGTGACGACTCGAGCAGTGAAGATGAGGAGACGAGCAGTGAAGATGATATATGCAATGCAAAAGCAACGTACTAGTACAACTTGCATTACAAATTAGCCAGACATTACGAACTAAATTTCAATTTGTAATTCTGATTTACCTGGACGAAGGGATTTGTAATGCATAACAGTAATTACTACGAGTGCGATACTTTTGCAGTTCATATGATACGAGCAGTGACGATTCGCGCATCGTAGACACGAGCAGTGAAGAAAATGACGATGTACAACAGCGAGGCACGACGACCAGTGGAGCTGGTCGTCAGGTGGCGATTCAAAGGGACGAGGGTACTACAACGACAACCAAAACGACCCCAGCGGAAGCTTGTGTCAACACTGGTCAACAGGCAGCGACACGAGCGTCACCGCATCAAGGAAGAGGAACACGTGACGAAATAAAGAACGCACCCCCTAGTCGTGGCAGCGGTTCGAGAAAGAACAGTAGAATTATCCCCATTTTACCGCCGATCATGGAGGAAGCGGAGAGTCTTTGCCAAGAGTCTTCAAGCGAGGAGGCTGAGGTTCTCCTGCAGGCCGCGAAAGGCGAGAGCAAGGGGTTGACCACGTTGAAGAAAGCAAACCAGAACAATGACGAACATTTTCCAACAGTACAATTGGCAGCGAAGAAGTCAACAGGAGAAGCGGTTTCGTCTTCCTCTGTGGCCCTTGTTGTTCCTGCTGGTCGTGAGCAAGCTCGGGCAGGCGGCGAAGAGGGGAAAGAAGCTGGTGCTGGAAAAGCTGCGGTATTAGAAGTACAGCCGGAAGATGAGGTCACAGCATCTGCACGTGGGGAGAATCTGCATCATCCAGAAAAACACGACGAAGATCATGATCACATCCCGCATCATGTTTCCGCTGCAGATGCTTTAGCCGCTCTTTCGTCGGCGATGAATAAGATTTACTCCCGGGTCGTTGATGACCCTATCGGGACGGCGAAGTACGTGGTGAAAGTGAGGGAGGTATGCAGTGCAACTATATCTGGGTCAGGAACAAGGGTTGAACCTGTATTGCGTGTCTCGCATTTTTCAAAAATCTGTATTGCATATTGCAGCAAAACAAGCGCCACATTTTCGGCATTTAAACTCGCAGGGTTGCAATGCGTGGCGCGCATGAGAAACTAGACGAAGCGACTGAAAAAATTGTCATGCTTCACTGCACTTAGAGGCGCGCTCAATCATGACCATTCAGCATTACAAGTTTCCAGACCCACACTTTTTTGCGCCGCATATGAGGCAAGAAAACGAGTAAAGGAAGAATTCTGCTTGGATCCGGATCAGCCGCATGTGACCCCGAGCGAGCAGACACGCATAGAAAACGAAGTGTTTGCTGCGTACAACAGATTTTTGAAACAAGAACAAGCAGCTCCTCCCGGACCCGCGTCTACTTCTACCAACACAAAGAACGATGACAGTCAGCAGCAGCAACCCAGCCCCTTCCCCTCCATGAAAATCTGGCGGAACGGGCAGGCAGTGGACGGCCTAACCCGCGCGGAGTGGTTGGACCCAAGCCACCCGCTTCCGCCCGAAGGAATCCTGTTGCAGGGCGTACGGGGCCGGCCAGCAGTATGGCGTTCTCAAACGTTACATTCTCAACTGTTACATGATTGGTCATGCAAAATGACCATGAGAGCCACCAGACGATCAAGCTGCTTCGCGTGACAAGTTCTCGAATGACTAAACAGCATCTAAATCTGTACCAAATCTGTCATGCAAGACGCGCAAGCTCCCTTCTTTCACTTTTGCCATTCTTGCATGACAAATTCATGTAACAGCTGAGAATGTAACAGTTGAGAACGCCATAACCAGCAAACCCGGCCGAGAAGCTCATGTGGGAACAAAATCGGGGCACCTGGCGGGAGTGGTGCTTCGCCGACGGCCCTGCTCCACTTTGTGACAGCGGCCCGTGTATGCAGCGTCATGGCGACTACGACCCGAACAACCCAAAACCCAAGTCGCATTTTTTTCACAAAGTTAGCCTCTGGCGTGCGGAGGACAAAAAGAGTAGTGACGCGGGCGGAATAAGAGCAAGGCGTGGTGGCGACAATGGAACTACAAGCGACAATGCCGCTAATGCCGTAGACGGAAGCGATGAGAAGGAAGTGGCTGACGCTTACCAGAATAGATCCCACCTGAAAGAACAACAAGCAGGAGCGCCCGAGGCCGCGTCGACGACCAGCAAATTGGGTGGTGCGTCGTCCTCTTCCCGGCCGGAGTCGTCGACTGACAATACCGTGGTGACCAGAAAGCCAGCCTTTCCGCAAACGGTGAAGCTGGAGCAGAACACCACCACGAAGAAACGCGAGACAGAACAACAAGAGAAGACCGCCAGGCTGTCCCCCCCAGAAGAAGCAAGCGGAACAACAGAAAGCGCGGAAGCAAAAAATCATTTTGGAGCTGCATTGAAGCCCCCGGGACGACCTGAGGGTCCGTTCTTACCAGCGGCGGTAGTTGCAGAGCCGCCGGTACTTCTAGCAGGCGAGGTTGCGGAGCAGGAAATGAATGAGCGACACGATGATCAGGCCAGCGGCGACGGCGCAGCTCCACCAGCGGAAGAAAGAAACTTTCTGATCACAGAAGGGCGCGCAGATGATCACGACGGCAAGGAGGTCCGGTGGGTGGATGTGATCGATGACTACGTAAGCTTCTGTCCGGGGAACCAAAATAGTAACAAAATGCGGCTGGCAGAACCGTGGACCCACATCCTCTCGCCGGAAGACGTTGCTGCGAAGCTGAGCGAACTGGTGGAGAAACGGGAGGTGGATCACGTGATAAAACTAAATGAGAAGAATAACGGGCCGGTTTGGATGCGGTGGTGTGGGGAGTCCGAGCACAGGCCTATGAGTGCGCAATTCGGCCCGGAAGAGAAAGACCTTCGCATTCTGTACCCGAGAAAGATATTCGTGATCGAAGACGACGAGAAGCCAGCGGACGAAGCAAAAACGACGAAGGCGAAAAAGACCATGAAGATGAACAAGAAAAACAATAAAGGGAGCAAACAGCTAATCAGCGCCGACACCACTGCAAATTCTATCTCTTCTACCAACGCTGGAGCAGCAGGAGGTGGTGGAACGAAAGCAGCTACAACTACCACCAAAGGGCAGACGAACAATCCGGGTGAGCCGGCTTCATCTACTGCTCCCGCGACTTCTAGCACGACAACCGGAGCAGGACTTGGACCAGCAGGAGCTGCAGCTTCTGGCGCAAGAATTGCGGCCACTAATGAGCAGGCCACTAATGACAAAGGGCCGCCGGCGTTTTCTGGTTTTGACGAGTTTGAAGCGGATAATTTGGGAGAGAATGCTGAGAACTACAACCCGTCAAAATTTCTTAATACCAGCGGGAGCACTACTAAAGCGACCTTGAGAATGCCGCCGGATGATCACATCGACCCTGGTTTAGTATTCGAGTCGACGTTTCTTGGAACTGTTGACGACACGGGGGACGGTGATTTTGAGGATTTTGAAGATGACCCGTTTCGTCCTGGAACCGCAGGCAGGGGCACGAGCCTATTGGCCACAATGAAGAACGACAAGAAGATGAAAAGCTCTAAAAACAACAACAGCACTGACGGCAAGGCCAAGTTCGTCTTGGCCAAGCAGGATGAAGACCTCCCCCTTCTTTCCCGCGGTAGTACTGGTGGTCGTGGAAAAGGCGGAAAAAAATCGAAAAGCAACAAGCAGCAAGAACGAGAACAAAGCAATGACGACTCGAGCTCTGACTCCGCTTCCAGTCCGGTGGAAGACGAGGAGGACGATCTGCTATGCGGTGCAAGAAATATGTAGCGTCAGTCTGGATTTGTGGGGGAGATACAAGAACTGTATTATGCATGAAGAGGATTGGCTTAGGCTAGGTTAGTTTCTTTGTCATGCTGTGAAAGTGAAACTCAGTTTGTCATGTGCATTATCAGCAACACAAGAAATCCAGAATGAGACCACATCTTTGAAGTGCATATCCCCTGGCTGACGATAACAACGCGGCTAAGAAGCCCGTTCAGGCGAAAAAGACTGCTGTAGCGAAACCCAAGGCAAAAAAACCTCCGGTTAAAAAACGGAAAGATCAAGCGCCGAAGGGCCCCGCCAGGGGCAGTGAAGAGGATGACGAATTAGATAACCGCGGCAAGGGAAGAAAGAAAGACGCAATAAAGCTTAGCAAGAAGGGCCGGGAAGTGGATCAAGTTCAAGAGGCCGTCGCTGAGCCGAAAAAGCGAAAAATAAAGGAACAGGAAAAACCACTGGCACAGCTGCAAGCATCAAGTGCAAGTGGGCTCGGCTCACAGGGCATGAATATCATATGCAATTGTGTCGGTCTAGCTGATTTGTGTTGCTGAGTCTTCTCGCATGATAAGCTGAAGTGGCCGCTTTTCGAAGATACGGCACCAGATGGCCTCCATCGGGAGTGCGTTGAAAGAAGACAAAAAATATCTTGTCATTCTTTCTTGCAGAAGTGGCATGCTGTCATCTTGCAAGACACCAATGATTATTGGCTAAAAATATCCGAAAATACATCCTTTCGTCCACAGGCGGCCAGAGGGTAAATATTTCTTTCAATCTGCTTCCTCCGAAGGAAATTCTAGCGCGATTCCCCCGTGGTTTTGGGTGCAAATGTCGAAAAATTTAACTTTTTTGCCCGAGCGGGTGTATTTAGCATAACGTATTCTGGCTACCCTGTTTGCACTTTCGGCCCCTTTGCAAGAGTCGGTCCTCTCCAAGAGTACAGTCGGCAAGGGGGACGCTGCGTAAGCAGTGGCTTCCTGGTTGATAATGACTTCCGCACCGCCTCAGGCTGGCAACAGAGCAGGGAGAAGGAGGCGCTGGGCTCAGTGGAAGGACAGCCGGCTCGTTTTTGTGGCCGGCGCGTCGGCCATTTGCTGAGGTTGGAACATTTCCAGGGTCATGTCCACCCTTGACGCGTGTTCTGGCGCTAGGGCACTCAAATGCACTGGAGCGACTTGCTGCCATTCATTCACCAGCCCGGTTAGCTCAGTCGGTAAAGCGCCAGGCTCTTAACCTGGTGGTCGTGGGTTCGAGCCCCACATCGGGCGAGTTTTTGCCGCATTTTGGAAGTGTGGGTCGCTGACAGCAGGGCTTTGCTTCTTTTCGGAATGGCATGGGGGCAGGACGAACACTTCCATGTGAAAAACGGTTGAAGTCGGTGGCTGCTGCGGAAGGCGACCTGCTACGCGCAGCAGCCAACGATATCCTGTTTTTCACAGTAGATCTGGCGCCGCAGGGGACTTCCTATCCGTCTTTCCAGTTGTTTCTGCAGAGAGCAAACAACAAAATACGTTGAAAGGCGTTCGAAAAAAAAATACCAAGTTTTAGGAAGTTTCACGATTTCGCTCGTATCATGCCTTAAAACCTGCAAAAATGCGCAAAAATATTGTTTTTCTCCCGAATGGTTGTATTTAGCAACCCGTATTCTGGCTACCCTGTTTTGCGTTTTTCCTCTTGTTCGGATCTCCTTCGGGAGTCATCCGTTAAAATTGGAACGATACAGAGAAGATTAGCATGGCCCCTGCGCAAGGATGACACGCACAAATCGAGAAGTGTAAACAATTTTTTTTAATCTGCATGGTATGATCGTTTTCGTTCCTTTTTGGAAACGCGAATACCGATGTTATGCTTCAGTCTCCTTTCGGAGTCAAATTCTGAATCCGCACGGCATGACGTGGTTTTTGTGCAAACGGATTGAATATGCATGGTATGGTGCAATCGATAAGCAGGAAGGATTTCCGAATCCGCACGGTGTGGATGATTTTTCCTGTCTGCATCCCGGGACGTTAAAATGTAGACCGCACGCTATCGTGGACATGCATTGTTACAGGTTCTTGCAGTCCCCTCGGGTTTGGAAAAAAACGACAACATTTCGTCGGTGCCGAAATAAAACGACCACAGTAATTCGGAAGAACTTTTCAAAAAAACTGCAAGTGCGGGCAGTTTTTTGCCCCACTGCAGTATTTAGCAGCCGTATTCTGGTGACCCAGGTCTAGCGTTTCACCCAACTGCCGCAACCGCCTTCCAGGCAGTGGTGAGCCGGGCTGGTGCTCGGACGCGGCTTCAACCCGCGGGGGGCGGTGACGCCCAGGGGTTCGATTCCTCCTCCGCTGCGTTTTGTTTTCTTTTGTTGCTCTGTCCTTTTTTCCCCGCCTGCTGCCTCCGACTTCAAAGCTTTGCCCCTGGGGCTGTCTCTTTTCTGTCCTGATGCGATTGCCTGTTCTGTCCGACCGTCCGCATTCCCTGACAGCAAGATCTTGCTGTCACTCTATACGACTCGCATCACAAAGAATTCAGCTCGGGCCTACACATTTGTTACGCCCCACATAATGGCACGAAAAGTCGGGTGAGGCAGTTGATCCTCCTGCTGCGAGCCCTAAATCTGACGAGGAAAAGAAGGTGGCGCATCTCCACAACTATGCAAAATAAAAGTATCCTGACACTCATAGTAACTGCTATTGCAGTCATGTAAATCTTTTGCTTGACGTTGTAATCCCGCATAAACGAAAAACGAATTCCATTTCTCATGAACTTGTAACTTTGTCATGCGCAATTACAAAGTCCACTTGCAGTGGGGAAAATTTCAATTTTTTGCTCTTGCAATTACTGTTGGCGCGGTACTTTTACAATCCATAAGGAAATGCGGATTCCCAAGTTGAAGACGGAGTACTTCGAGGAAAAACCAACGCGACCCTACCTTCTCACCATATCCAACTGTACAAGAGTATCGCAAATTTTTGCATGACAAATTCAAACACAAACTCAATGCCTAGCATGAAAAATTGAATTTGTGTTGCTGGCAGGATCTTCTGTCATGGATGATTGCAATTAAAAAATAGTACGAGATGTGCAATGCTCGTTTTCATCTTCCCGTGGATACGCCAGGCAGGGCAACCAGAAGACGATGGAGGAGGTTATGGATTTGACAGATGTTATCTTCTCAACTCTTACATGAATTTGTAAATGCAAACTTATCCTCGTAAGCCACCAGACGATCAAGAACAAGTAGATACTTTTCATTGATAAATTCTCGAAGTAGGGCGAGAGAGCGTCTAAATCTGCGCCAAATTTGTGATGCGAAGGTTTCAATGTTGGCCCTTTTCCTGTTGTTGTCCCTTGTTCTTCCTTCACAAATTTATGTAGCAGTTGAGCGCGTAACGTTTGAGAATCTCATACAATTTCTCTCGTCGTACACACGAGAGTCTGGCATTGAATGGGACGAGGCACCTATGCAAGATCAAAAAAAAGAACTGCGTTGGTGTAACTCTAACTCCTTGTGACGGGGTGCAGCATCACAAATTTGTTTCGCATGACAGAAAAAACTTGCCACTTGCTAGTATCAACTGTGAAATGATCGAGCATGAAAAGGGGCTCGAATGTAAATCCGCATGACAGAATTGTAAGAACTGCGTTGCATGCTCTACTGCATGGTCACAGACTTATATTATCGACACAGCTTTTTATTTTCTTTTCCTGCATAACCCCGGAGAAAAACGTCATCCGCAGAACACTATCAAATGTGAAAGTGTCTCGGTCTGGAAGAATGCAACTTCTCATGCTAAATCTGAAGCATGCAAAAAACAGTGTTGCATCATTACCAAAAGCTGTCCACTTTTGACGTAATCGAGAGGCAGTTTCTCATGCAGGATAGACATGATAGAACCCTCACAGAATCTGTAATGCTATGTCCTACATGCCAGACCAGACCTCATGGGTCATGGAAAACCTGCATGACAAGTCTGGCACTCCTCCAGACCCAGACATTTTTACACTTGATAAACACCAGGCATCCCGAACCCGAAGGAGAGCACCATCCAAAAGGCGCTTGACAATGAACGGAGGGCAAGAATCGAAGTCGGCTGGGACTGCATTTGCCTCACCTCATCTGGCGTGCAGGCCTTTCCACCCGTGCCCCCGGAGGTGCTTGACAACCAGCGTCTTTGGTATGCAAGGAAAAGGCTAGGCAAGTGGAAGTCTGTAAGTAATGCACCGGAGGCTACACAGTTTGTTGCGCTTGCCATACTACACCCAGTCGTGACGTCCTATTCAAGTTTGTCACGCTGCCAGTCGTGATTTTTCGTTGTCATGCGGAACATCAAGTTTGTCATGCTGCCACCCATAGACCCCTTCTATGCTAACGCCGTTTTTTTCTTGGATATTTGGCGGGAGTGGCGCAAGAGCTCTGAGGAGATCCGGAAAAAATTCGTCAGACGCAAGGACGGTGATGGGAGTCTCGTCAACTATATCAAATGAAAAAAAACGAAAAAAATTTCATCTGGGTCGGGAAGGCGAAGCAGTTTGATGCAACTTCTGATGCTAAATATTGAGCAGACGAGACAAAACACTGTATCTGCGTCAGTGCCAATAAATGCTGCCCGTGCAGCGTGTGCCCACTATTATTTTTTGTTGCACAGATACTAGCAAATTTCTCATGCAGAGTGGGCATCAAGAAACCTTCGGAATAAAACCTGTAAGTAGTGCTTGAGCTTGAGCTCGTTTGCGTGGATCTCAGCCCATCTTTCGCCGGGAGGATTTCTTGCATGAAGACAAACGCGCGGACTCCTCCAGAGGACCACCCAGACATGTTTATTGCAGCGGATAGACTACTGGCTGTATCCAGCGGAGCCCTGGAATAAGGACGCCTATGATTTGACGAAGCGTAAGGTGAACCGCAGGGGCGAGGAAATCCCGAGTTCCACGGATGATGAAGCTGGGGAAGATCATATCCCGTGTAAACACGACGTTCGCACACCGGAGTTGCTGTCATGCGAATTTGCATGCGCGGGTTGCTTGTTTCTCATGCGTTTCCACAACATGAGGTTGACTGAGGATTTAATTTCTAATAGTATTTACGTATTTCGACTTTGTCTTTGTCATGCTGTTATCGGGATGATCGTAAGGTGATCGATTTGTGATGCGGCTGCACCAGCTAACGTCACTACTTTGGTATACTGCGCGGCCAATCTTGTCATGCGAAATGATAGCCAAACGTTGGCGATTTGTGTACTAGAAAGAAAAACTTCATGCTTTTTCGGTCTGGGTTGTCGGTCACGTCGTTTGATTTGCACTGGATAGGATAAGAAGTCCAAACTGCATCTGCCAAACCTCCGGGCAGCTCTACTTCGTCCTCCTCGTGTACTGGCTCCGCGGGCTCCTCGTCCTCCCGCGCAGCAGCTCTGCCGCACCTCCTGAGTACTAGAAACGACGCAACTACAACATCTTCAAGGCTGCAGAGCAGCGGCAGTAGTGCAACAAGCGCATCGACAGCAGGAGCCGCGAATAAAGGAACTGCTGGCCGGGCCGTCGGGAAGATCAAGCCCAATGCAGCACCTCCAAAGCCTTGTCCCCCGCATCAAGGAGGAAGTTCAAGCGGGAAAAGTAAAAAGAACTCAGACAACGGCGCTAAACGGAAAGCCAAAGCTGCTGCTGTAAAACCAGGAAGAAAGAAAAGTACCACCGCCGTGAAGAAGCGGGAGGCGAAACAACAACAGCCACGCGGGGATCTATTAAATGCAAATATGCTTGGATCTGGACACTTGTGATGCTGAAGTGCGGATGACTGCAACGCTTTCGACTGCAGCCAAGCATGACAAGTTCTTGCAACGCTGTCTCATACGTAAGAACACGCATGACAAACTCCGTTTCTGCGTGACAAAGAACGCTGCGCGTTTGCTGGCCATGCAATACAGATTTTCTTGGATTGTAAGACCAGCATCACAAGCTCCCTTTTTCTAGACCCAGACATATTTGCATTTGATAGGATCGTAGTGACAGCAAGAAAGTTATTTCTCCGGAAAAGAAGAAGTCGTCGCTGCGAGAAAAGCGGAGTCGGGTTGAAAAGCACGTGAAGATGTTGAAAAAGAAAAGTTCATCATCAAAGAAAAAAGTAGACAGCAACTGCAGCAGCAAGGAAGGCGAGAACTGTACTTCTTCTGGGCATCAAGAGCCACTGTCATCATCCTCTGCTCCTGCATCAAACGCCGCGAATCAAACTACCAGTCAGGATGAAGCTGCAAGTGCCAGTACTGGTTTCTGGAGCGGTTTCAAAAATGGAATCTCTAGCGTCTTGTTCCGCAATGCACACGACAAAACCTCCAACACAACCGCTCGGGACGAAGAGGACAAAATCAACGTAGCAAGTACAACATCAAAAGAGGAAAACGTCGCCGGCGCAAAAAGTCCGACATTGGAAAAGAAAACAAAAGCCAAAGGCGTGCGTGCGAAGGCGGAAGGAAAAAGTGCAAACAGGGCCAAAGCGAAAGCAAAAGCATCTGCAAAGGGAAAGAACAAGAAGCCTGGAACGGGGGGAGGTGTTTTGAAATAGTATATTGGTTGAGAATAAAGCGCTGCGTGAAAAATTTTTTTACACTTTCAATTTTTGTTTTTTACGGTATCACAGAAGGCTGCAATGCACAAGATCTAACATTTTTTTTTGTCAAAGTCAAGAGCCAGCAGCTTATAGTTGAACAATTGCAAGAACATTTAATGCTAATGGGCCCATGAATAGCTAAGATTATTTTACCTTGTTTCTACTACGAACTAGTTGTAGATCATGCTTATTTTTGAGAGTACACGACAAAAGGCATGCAATGCCCCTGTTTCGCCAGCGGCGTTGCAAAAGAATGAACGTTATTTTCTTCGACTACAACACATGTGCCTGGGCTTTCAATTCATATTTGGATAGGTTTCCGAATTTAGACTTTCACATAAATGCCCATGGAAGATTGAAAAGATGCTGCAGAGCAGCAACTATTTTTGTTTTTTTTGGCAAACGAACAAATAGTAGAATGGAGTGCAGTACACGCACGCCGCAGATAACACTTTGACGCAGGAGGTGCAGAAGGCATCTTCGATCTGTACATGTATTAAAGAAAAAGAAAATATCATACACCAAGTAATCTCACCGGACCACACAAGAAGTGTCGCACAGAATACTGCTCGCAATGGCGACAGAAAAATGTAACGGTCTGGCAACAAGCACAGAAACATGATAATGCGAATGAAAATTTGTATACGTTTTATCACAACAGATTTATTAAACTGACACTTTTTTCGAAGAAAAATCATATTTATAAAATGACTGAAGAACGGTAGCAAAAGTGCAGCGAGATGGTGATCGTTGGATTTCTGTTTCACAACAACATCGTCGACAGCTTTATTGCTTTGTGTTCGCAATGATCCATCACGGTATGAAGCGGAGGATCGATCCTCATGCGTACGAACGATCGCATTACGACCCTTCCACAATTGTCTCGCCCGCCGACGTGTGAAGGGCAGAGGCATACACGGAGAGCATTGGTAGGCGCCCGATTTTACGGGAGGGCCTGGCGCTTCCCGCAGCCTCGGCCGGGGTGGCAGAGCTGTGGCGCAGTGTCTGCGGTGGCTGGCGCCGTTGCTTTTTTGCCGCGCGAGCTCCAGGCGCCCGCTACGATCTGCCGGCCAGGGGAGAGGCGCGCGCCGCGTTTCTGGGAAATATCTTCGCGGGAAGGCGATGCGGCCTGGTTTTCGGGGGTGACTATTTTGGCCGGCGCCGAAGAGTCGAGCCGCGACGCCCCCAAGTGGAGCGAGTGCGACCACCCACACGCCAACGCAACAGGCTTGCGCCGCACTTCGAGAGAGCGCGCGAAAGCTGCAGGAATTCGCCTCCGCAGATAGTAGCAAGGCACAGGGGTGACGCAGTGGCGGGGGTGGCGTTTGAAGCTGCTCGGGGTGCTTCGTGTTCAGGTGGGGCCGTCACTTTTGAAGAGCACGCAGAGGCACCGCCGCAAGGGAAGAGACCGGGCAGCGGGGCGGGCCGGCGTGATGGGTGGGCGGCCTCACTCCTCGCGGGAGTCCCGCGCGGCTTCACTCCTTTGCCGCAGCGTGCTTCCTCACACCGGGGGGCCCGGCCGGGGATGTTGCGCGCCCCTCCGCCCTGTTTGCGGTCCGTGGCGTGCCGGTTCGCGACGGCCGCGACAGCCGTTGGCCCCACTGCGGGGCGGCCGGGCGGGCGGGCGGCAGGCACTCGGGTCGGCGAAAAATCCGCGACCCGGACGCCGGGCCGGGCCGGCTCCGGTGTACGTTCCACGGGTACCGTCCTGGAATACGCCGGCCGCCAGCCCCTCCCCCGCCCCTTGCTCTTGCTTTTTATCATCTCCGGGCAGCGCCGCCCACGAAAGGGGAAGAAGCAAAGGCGCCGGGGCCCAGCCGCTGCCTGGCCCCCGCTTATCTGTTAGCTTCCCCAGCTGTCGCCCTGGCAGCTTCAGTCGGTTGCTCGCTTCAGCAACTGCCGCGGCGCCTGAGGCACATACGTACACCCCACCAGGGCGCGCCCTAGGCTCGCTCTCTGGCTGCGTGGGCGATAGTTCCCGTGCCTAACACCGCGCGGCTTGGCGCGTGTCTGCGCGCACTGGCGCATGCGCTTCCTGGCGCCGCTCCCTTGCGTCTTCTACTTCAGCCGTAGCCGCGGCGCGCACACAGTACTAGCTTCCCTGCAGATATTATCTGTTGCTCGCATGACGAACCACGCGACGCGATGGCGCCACGAACGGCCCATGGAGATTGATTGTTACTCAAGCACGAGAGTGGTTCTCGTGCTGCTGTTGTTGTTCCCGCTCCTTTCGCTCCTCGCATCTCGCGAAGTAAATAAAAAAACCAAGTATGGTCCTCGGGCGTCCACTCTTTCTTCCTTCAACTTCATTCATTCGTTGGCACACGGTCGCGGCGCAAGTTTTTGTTTCTTCTTTCTTTTCCTCGAAGATCCAAGCGAAACATTAATCTTTTTCTGATCAAAAACACAAGATGGCGAAGATCCGGCCAGGACAGGCGGTCCTCCGGCCAGGATCGGTTTCCCGAGCAGGCCGGTCGGGTTTCTACTCGTCGTCTTCGTCATGCTGCTCATGGGACGAAATAAATGCTAACAAAATTGCTTCTGTCGAAAGCCAAAACGGCTTCTGCAGAAGTCGCGGCTCTACTAGTACAACTCCTGAGGGGCGACAATTTTTTTACCGGCACGGCCAGCTGCTGCGCCGGTGCAGCACATCCTTCATGAAGATATCACCGAGAAACTACAACCGCGGGGACCACGACGCTCCTGGCACAGAAATTCTACCTCGACGCACCGTCAAAAGTATCCCTCCACGGCGTGGTTTTTTTTGGAGCATCAAGCTCAAGAGAAGTACCTCGTCTCTGGTGCGTGCAGCCATGATCCTCGTGGTCAGCAATCTCTTCGGGTTGTTCGGCACCACTTCTACGCGAAAGTCATCTGCTGGACGCAGCTCTGCGGTCTCTGCTTTGGGAGGTGGTGCAACCCTCGGCGCATATGGTTTCGCATTGACAGCTGCATCATTCACCTCACCGTCGAATTCTCAGCCTAGTAAACCAAAATCTTCCGCAGGTAGTTGCAATTCTAACTCACACTGCACGTGGTCAAGAAGCGCAGACGAGCTGCAAGACCTGCATGAGCTTCGAGAAGGACAACTAGGACTACAACCCGCGGCCGCCATGGGAGCAGCAGGACCCTCGTTGGACAAGCAAACGAAAACACCAACTGCAAGCCCGATCTGTGGCACTAGTAGTTGTTCTGGGAAACCGAAAATGAACGACTCCAATAGAGTTGTTGTCCCGTCTTCATCATCCGCATCCCCGAGGAGTTGCATTTTTGTTCCACCTGCAAATGAGACCGGCGCAGCCAGCTCCACTGCATCCCCCTTGCTGTCATTCGCCGGCGCACGGGCGGTCATGGGAACGCCACCGCGGCAGCACGTCGCTTCATCAACACTGCAAGGGCACCAGCAATACGTTCTTGAAGAGGGTTCTTGTATTACTGGTAAATCGGCAGGCGATGAATTGGAAAAAATGGACTTGTTCGTTTTGTCCGCCGCTTGCAGGAGCAACAAAACTGCACCCGCCGCTGTTGCACCTACTTCTCCTGCGTCGAGGAACTACGCCTCCTCCCCTGGTGTTCTTGCGCAGGAGCAAGCGGCTACGACCACCTCTGGCGCCATCGCGGATGGTCTTCTGCCTGAATTCGACATCTCCAGAAGGAAAAGAAGGAATGGAGGGGGACCGACGGTGGAACCAAGGGAGCCAGAATTTTTTCAATCAGGTGCTGATCTCTACTCACAAGAACATCATGTCGCACAACACAACTCTCCTCCTTCCCAAGTCGCAAGAACCCGGTCGGAGGATTACGAGAAAGCAAAATTGGCCGGGAACCGGCGGGCACTGCTTTCCTCCTCGGGAACAGCTACGCTAGGATCGTTGGAGTACCGAGGGGGAGGAGCAGCAGCTGTGGAAATGCAGTCCGAGTCGTCGAAAAAAACGTCTGTTGTAATATCGTCGTGGCACGGATCCTCCGCCTCCTCCTCGTCGGCGAATGCTGTTGCACATCTTTTATCAAATCCAAAAGTGTCTGGGTCTGGAAACTTGTGATGCTAAAATGTGCATGATGAAAACACTTCCGAATGCAGTCCGGCATGACAACTTCCCAAAACGCTTTCTCGTAAGTAGGCAATCCGCATGAGAAACTGCGTTTTTACATGACAAAAGAGGCTGCGACTTTTGTTGGTTATGCAATACAGATTTTCTAGGTATGGAAAGCTAGCATTACATCAAGTTCCAACCTTTCAGACCCAGACATTTTTGCATTTCATATCGTTCTTCCCCCTACCATGCCCAGACGGATTCGTTTCTCCCTCTTCTCCATGAAGACGAAGAAGATACTTTCCCCGATGGCGACTTGGAACGAAACGGACGGCAATTATCGGAGCAGACGCAGTATGCACTGCAAAAGTATAGTACAAGTTATAATCGCAGTCCAAGCATTACAAATTTCTTTTGTAAAAAGGCGCATCCGCATTACAGATTCCATTTCTTATTCTGAGCACAGTTCTGCTCATGCAATTAGTATTAGCACGATACTTTTGCAATCCATAGGCAGCAGTCCGCGGGCTCCGGGTCCGGCGCATCAGAGCAATCTTCGTTGTCTAGCATGAAGGTAGAGCCCGGATTCTCCGACACAAGCAAGAACCAGTGCCTGCTCAGCTGCGCCACAAGCGTTTTGTCCTCCTGCATTCTCGACGAGAAAGCGACACAAACTGTAGCGACGTTGCACACAACAAAGCAAGCAGCCAGCGAAGAATCTTCACGTGTCTTAGGGATCGAAGTAGATGTCGGTCATCATGTTGGCGCCGGCGTCGTCGTCGACAGAAGCGATTCGTTATTTCCCACGGACGACTCTAGTACCGCCTTCCTGGTTCGGGTATTGAGCAACGAAGGTGAACGTGAAGATTATTTTGATGGACAGCATGATCAAGAACTACATGTTCCGTTCCCGGGAGAGGGGGCAAGAACCATCCGAGAAATAAGTGGAGAACTACGACTACCCGCATCTCGGTCCCGCCCGACCTCTGCTACAAGTAAGTACAGCACGGTGACACAGCTGGATGCTCGTCCTTGCTCATCCCCCTCGGTCACGAGCGCTTTCACGGAAGTCAGGGAGGACATGCAGCGCGAGCTTCTGCACCACAAGCGCGCTACCGTCGACGCGTTGCCGGCTTTATTTTCGCTACCAAGAAATACTGACCTGCCGGGGTTGAAGTTAGGCTCGGGGAACACGAACTCGAACAACAGCAGTAATTTACAACTACCCGGTATCCTGAGTAAAAACGTACCCACACCAGAGTTGGGATGGGGATTTTGCAACACAAACCTAGGAGTTTTGTGAGTCACGCATGACAAGCTTCAGTCCGTAAGGTAGTGCAAGTTAGCAAGGAAAGCCGCATCACAAATCGATCTGCTGACCCTGTTTACAGCGTTACAAGTTCCCAAACACGATTGAAAATGCCTGTCATGGGGTTGCGCATCACAAGTGTTCCTGTCATGGCAAATCTGCATGACAACTCTGGCGTGGGTACGTTTTTACTCAGGATACCCGGGGGTCCTCTTGCCCGGCGGCGGTGGATCCTCGTCAAGCCGGGCTGCTTGTGATTCCGCGCTACCAAATGCAAAAGTGTCTGGGTCTGGAAGATTACCAGGTTTGTCATGCATATTTTGAATGACCCATGATGTCTGTGATGCATGCCCTAGCATCACAGATTTTTCGAGGACTTTATGATGCCTCTGCCGCATGAGAAATGCCCTCTCCGCGTAGCACAAACTGGAGTTCTCGTCTTGCTGGTCATACAATAGAAATTTTTTCAGAATCCAGAGACAGCATTGCAAGTTTAGAACCTTCCAGACCCTCCAGACGCTTTTGCATTTGATACGCGCGCGCCAGGAGCGTTTCCAGAAGCAGTATGAACACAGCCGCAGGGAAGCTCATGCTGCAGAGCCTGCAACAGTATCACACAGAAAAAACCTGGCAGGTCATATTTGTATTGCAAAAATAAATAGACAAAAAAAATTGTATTTCATATCCTAAATGGCATGCTATGAGGCCGCCCACGACAGATCTTTCTGTGTATTTATCTTTGCATTACAAATCTGCCCTGCCAGCTTTTTTCTGTGGGATAAACAGGGAGAGATGCTGAGCACCAGCTGCACGAGCGGGAGGCAAAGCTCGTATGGAATGAAAAAGCATCGTACTTCGAGTAGAACATGACAAAATCCCTCAGCATGAAAAATGGAATTTGTTACGCGGATTTAGGTTAAGAAGGAGATTTGTAATGCATGGCTGCGATAATTACTACGAGTACGATACTTTTGTACAGGATAGCTCGAAGTCGTCGACAACGTGGGGAGGTGGGTCCATGAGTTGCAGAGACCACATGTACTCCAACTTCGGTGCGCTCAGCGGAGGACCAGAGGGAGTACCACCTGTACCACTACCTCCACCAAGCCCGCCTTCGCTCGACAAGGTTCGCGGCAGCTCCGTTTTGCGAGGACAATTTTTATCGGATCATTTCTTCGGCGAAGGAAACAATAATCTGAATCCAGGATCATCCCCCTCCGTGGTCACGGGCGACGCCGTTGGAGGCTGCACCAGTTCTACTTCCGCCGCAAAAATATTAACGGAATCATACGTCAGTAGCCCTCCTGTCGGGCCGCTGCTGTCTCAGCACAAATTTTCCTCCGAGCCCGTAGCCGCATTAAAAACAACTCAGGGAACGACCAGTGCTATATCTTCACCAACTGGTGGAACTCGAAATAAATTCCCCTCCGAGCCACCCGCCAGCGTGAGTTCACCGCCGTTCCCCCCACCGAACCCGCTCGGGCCGCCGCGTAGTGGTGGGGTTCTACCCGTCCACCAAGGGCGCTCGCAGCAAGCGGTCGCGGCAGCAGCGGCGCTAACATCAAGTGGTGCTTGTTCATCCTCTGGCTGCGAAAAATCAGGGAACATACTCCACAGCGAGATTAGATCCCCACCGGGTCGTGCTGAAACAACAACTCCGCCAGTCTCCACAAGTAGCGCTAGACCAAGCCGCCCTGGATCCGCGGTGCAGGCAGGAAACGCAGGACGGGCTGCTGGTGCACCAAATACGAAACTGGAACCCCTCCGTGCACACTCTGCCAAGGCAACGGCAACGCCGGGCGCCCTTGCCGAAGCGGTGTCGGGACTGGGACGACTTCAGGATCAACCCGCCGAGCCATCTGTGTCCGGTCGACACCTATCGATTGTAATGCCGATCTGGGTCTGTGCTCAGATTCTGGAAGAGGAAAAAATCTATCTGTGTTGCAGGGTCAGTAATTTTTGTGTCTTGGAGAAGGTATTTCTCATGCAGGCTAGGCATGAATAACCCTCTCAAGAAATAAGACAAATCTCTGATTTCATCCCGACCCAATTTAGTTCTTCTATACAGACCCTGATATTAGTTGCAACCCATAACAGCAGGCAGACAGCAATCTAGTTCTTGCCCGAGAGCAGGGACATCAAGTAACCCCAGCTGCACCCCACCAGACGAGAAGACCGAAACCGCTGCCGCGGCCACCGATCTCCAGTGCGAGATCGATTTTTCCGCAAGAGTATCCTGTGCAAAAGTATCGGACTCGTACTAATTACAAATATGCATGACAAGTGTTATTCCTAAGGCAAAACAGCATTACAAATTCTACTTCCCTTCTTGCCAAAATTTGTAATGCAATTTATACTAGTACGATACTTTTGCAATGCATAAAGAGCAGGGGCAGGACCGAGGGTGATGATCCCGAACGCGATCTTGGCGCCGGCTTTCCTTCGCAGCTTTGGGGTGCGTAACGGATATATCAAATGCAAAAATGTCTGGGTCTGGAAACTTGTGATGCTAAAAGTGAATGGTAGACGGACTGCAATACGCAGCTATGCATGACAAATTTTTTGGCTCCCATGTCTTCCGTATTCCGCATGACAAACTGCGTTTTTGCATGACAGGCAAGAGGGCCTTTTCGTGCCTATGCAACACAGATATCTCGAGTCATGCCAGACACGCATGACAAACTTGCATTCTTCCAGACCCAGACATTTTTACACTTGATAGGATAAAACAAAAAATTTTTTAGCAATTATCCTACCTATCCCGATCGCATGAACTGGATGATCTCGTCCGCCCGGTATGTGCGCGAATTATCGCGGTGAAGTATGCAAAAATCAAATACAACAAATTTACAACTTTTTTTTCATCGTTCTTTTTCTTGTGCCACGTACAATGGATTTTTTTTTCGTAATAACACAATTAGCAGCGGCGTCTGCGGCGTCACCGGACTTCTCAAGTTTATAGATTATATAGTGGTTTACTTTATTTTTTGTTAGTTCGACTCCGAGTAAACGACATTCTTCTGTTAGTTCTAGTACGACCCGATACCTAGTACATAATTGCCCTGCTGTATGTGAAGAACTGGGTCGGCATACGATCAGCGTGATCGATATCGAGCGAGCGAACAGGACCGGAGGTGTACCGAATGGCATCGGGATTTGGCTTCTTTCTCTTCTTCTTTGACATGATTCAAGTCGTATTTTTCCTTACGAAACATCGAAAATAGGTGCTATTTCACACAAAGAAATCCAGAAGGGTTCAAGAGAAGATCCGTCGTGCCATCGGTATTCAAAATGTATGTTTCACCTCCTTGCCACAGTCAAAACTCGCTCTGTGGATCGCTGTTCAAAATGGATTCATTGTTGTTGATTTGGATTGATTCCTTCTGTTTCAGAGCGGAACATCAAGACAGCTTTTCCTTCATGCGACTCTTCGAGTCGCAGTAGCATCGTGTCGATGCAATACATCTTCATCCCCCCCGTTCGGCGAGCGAAATCGTTGAGAACTTGATGAAGAGGTCGATGTAGCTTGTCGAAGGAAAGCTTGCCCGGTAACGGCTGTGCCGTGCTGGTGTCGGTGGTGCCGTCTGTGTCGGTCCTTGTGGTGGTGGTGCGGCTGTGCCGGGGCGGCCCTGTCGTACTGTTTTTGGTTATTTTTCAGTGTATTTGGATACTGAATGTAGATGGTATTGCGATCGTAGATGCGATTTGCGATTTCCGTTCTGCGAAGGTGTGCTTGACGTTTAGAAAGATCTTGCCGTTAAAAATCCATCGTCTTTTCGTAATAGAAGATCGTAGATAGGTCGCGTTCAGAAGTGCTTGCTTGCGTACTCCTGTAGTTCTTTTGGTCGTGGAACTACTCCGACCGACCTGGCAAACTTTTCGAACTTGTCGTGTCGTGTGTGAGGTCCTTGGTGAAGCCGTCACACTCCAGCACGTTAGTACTGCGGTACTCGAGTCTGCATTGTCCTGCTTGCACTGCTTCGCGCACCGCTAGGTAGCGGAGCTCTAGGTACTTCCCGTTGGGTGTTGGTACCGGGGAAGAAGCAGAATTGATCGCGCTCTGCGAGTCTGTCTGGATCAATCCTACCTGTGACTCTGGCTCTTGTTCTCCTAGCGGGATGGTTGACGACAGCTGTCGGATCCATCTGTTTTCGCGGTATGCCTGGCACTGGGAAATTGTTTCCGACTCGAACGGATTGTGTGCGATCAGAGGCTGTTTCTGACTTCTCCAAAGAATGCAACTTCCCTTGTGGAAGTGCGCGCTACCGGAAATGGATCTTCGCGTCAGCCGGCATCCTGCGTGGTCACCGTCAGACTGAGATACAAAACTTTTTTCTTCAACGGAGTGGATTGCTGGTTGTTGTTCTTGTCCACTCTGTTGCTTTGCTGGTTGTTGTCGTGTGTACCGTAAGACTCTGTCATTCCGCAAGTATCGAAGAATCTTCTTGCGCCGTTGTGTTACTTGGTCGCATCCGGGAATTGAAGCGATAACGCGGCACGCGTTACAAATTTCCGGATATGATATAGCATTGCAGTACTGGGCGCATCCTCCTACTTGTTGTCGGGATTCCTCTGCTTCTTGCGTGATCTGTTCGCATCCTGGTGTCTTCGGCTTATAGCCTGTCTCTCCAAATCGTCGCAGGACGGCGGTAACGTAGGGACCTTGGTCAGACAATAACTCTTGTCGATGTTGGTCGATCCACGCGCGTAAGTTGCAGAAGCTGTGTCCTGACCAGCGGTCTACTTGTGCTGGTGGGTCTTTGCGTAAACACAACTCGTGCTGTAGTTCTAAAAACCGTTCCTCTGCCTCGTAACCCGTGAAGTCGAAGTCGTCAACGCAAGTCGTAAGAGCGCAGTCATTCCTTCGGAATTGTGTTGCTGCTGTGCTGCTCTTCTTTTGCTGTTGTTCGTGTTCCTCGTCTTTGCTTCCGGTTGGGTACGTGAAAACTCCGTAGTCGAGCTTGCAGCGTTTCCACCCGGCGGAATACAGTTCGTTGTTGCGGTGGGCCTCGAAGCTGTACCCGCTAAACTGTAAACCGGGCAAAGATTTGGCTGGTACTGCGTACTTTTGGCCAAACCTCACCGCGAACTCCTCGCACAAAAGCAAGACTGGCGCTGGTTCTCCGTTCGGGGACTTGTAGTCGGACAAGAAGTAGGAACCGCTGCCGTCGCAGTTTACTTTTGTCGGGTGCTTGCCGTCCCGTGCCGGCGCGTGCAGCAGTTTGCTGTGCGTCAGCCGCCAACTGACCGCGGACGCAGTCGACCCCAACTTCCTGGTCAGTCTGCTTTTCACTTGGCTTCCGTTCGCTACAAACCTTGCTTTTTCTGTTGGTTCGTCGCTACCTACCGCTCTGACTTTTTCTTTCAAAATCACCTGCGTCGTGATTGGTCCTCTTCCGTAGTACGCGTAGTGTGCTTTGAAGTCTGCGTCTGTTGCTGGTCGCAAACCTCCGTGTCGGGCTACTACTTGTTCGCACTGTCGGTCAATGGCTCGCTGCCATCGTGGTTCCGTGCGGTCGTAGTTGTCTTTGACTTTTTGTGTTGCGAACGCTACCTCTTCTGCTGGCAAAAACGTTACTGGTGCGAACTCGTCGAACTCCGGATTTACGTCGCGAAACCCCTGGGCGAGGTACGTGGTCGACATTGCGATCTGTAGGTCGGAAACCTTCGCAAGCGGCTCGGTCCGTTGCTCGAAGAGTGCAAGCGCACTCACGGTTACTGTTGGTCGTTCTTCTAACTCGGCGAAGCTGTGGAAGATTATTGGATCTCTCTTGGTGCTGGTCTGTTCTTCTAAAAACTTGCACTGTCTCCCATGTCGTAATTGCCCGTCGTCACAATAAACATAGAAGCAGTTGTTGTCTTACTTCGGAGATTCCTAAAAAACGTCCTTTGTGTGTCCACCCGAGAAAACGGTCTTGCTTGTGCTGTAATTCCCGCGGCTCGAGAATGTAACAAACACAACCGAAAACTCGCGCCTGCGTCAGGTCTCCTGGTAAACCTGCCCCCTGGAACGGTGTGACGCCTAAACTTCCGCGTAGTTGTCTGCTCTGAAGGTAGATCGCGTAGAGCACTGCGAAGCTCCAAAAACACACTCCTAATCCCGAATCGTATAACGTCATACGTGCGTGCTTGACTATGTGGCGGATGCTAATTTCGATTAAGGACTGCCAGGCGTGTTCGTGCGGTGGTGTGGTGAAAGTTCTTCCTACTTCGACGCAAACTGGGTGGCTTTTGAACTCCTTGGCTCCATCGCTGCGCAGACAGGTGATTTTGCCGAATCTCCTGACCCACATACGAATTGCTTGGATTACTGTGCTGGCTGTTCGGTTTTTGCAACAGAAACCCATCTTCACTCGCACTGCTAAGTCGATGAAGAGAAGAAGGTAGACGGCTAAAGTGATCGACGGCGTGGTCGGACCACAGAAATCTACTGCGACTTCGTCCCCCAAGGACTTTGCTGTTGTTTTTGTGGTTTTGTTGTGCGCTTTGGTTACTGCTTTTCCCACTAGACAAGTCTCGCAATCTGGATAAAAACCTACATGACCTCCGCGGCGGTGGTCAAGTTCTGCTTTTGCTGCTTCCAGAATGCCGGCGTTGCTGCTGAAGACTTGTAGTGGCTGTTGGTTGTCGGTCGGCGTTGTGCTGGTTGCTGTTGGGTTTGCTGCAGGTTGTGTTTGCGGTATCTGGACTGGTGCTGCTGGCTGCAACTGGTCCGGGTCGATAGCAGGAAGACTCGTCGGCTGGATCTTGAACTGTAGCAAGATCGTGGCGTGTCCGTTGCGCTTCTCGACCGGAAAAATCCGCTCTCCCTTCTGCAGGTAACCTTCAGTAGATCTGTCTAAGATCTCGAAATCGGACTTCATTTGATGACTTGGATACAAATTCGGTCCGTTTGGTCTGAAGATCGTGTTCTTCACAGCGTGCGACTCGTTCCCCAACAAAAACTCACTTGTTCCGTCGTTGCATGTCTTGAATGTGTTGCCATCACTTGACCCGAATGCATGGACTGCGTGGTTGGTGATGGAGATCACTGAAAGGTCGTTCAGGAGCATTCTTGACGTGCAATTGTCTATGTACATGCGGACTAGCTTGCACTGGGCCGGTGCGGTAGGATCTGCCAAAGCTGCGTGGCTTTGCAGAAACTCCCCCAGCGGGTGTAGTTCTCCCGACTCGTCGACTACTAAGTCGGTGGCTGTTGCCTCGTCCTCGATGCACATCAACCCCGCGTGTACATCGGTCGGGATATACGGTGGGACAAAATTGGAATTTTGCTGCTGCGGTGGTGGTAGTACTGCTGGCCCAGTCGGCATCTGCATCGGTAATGCGGAATTGGACTGGTTCAGGAACGGTGCTGCTGCCGGATTCAACTGTTGCTGCGGAATTTGTTGTTGCGGATGAAACTGCTGCTGCGGAAGGAACTGTTGCTGCGGCGGTGGTGGAGGAAGTTGCTGGAACTGTTGCTGCGGCG